TTTTTTTCAGGTGTTAAGAATTCTCAGTAATTATTGGAATTTCGTTCCTCGCGATTTTATCAAACAGTATATGACCTTCGTATGTTCAATATAATTCAAACAAAATTACCAATTAATTGTGCAATCATGCCTTTTTGAAGATTGTTGATGTATTGTCCCGCGACAATGTGGTTGCTGTGCGACTAGCCGTCTATGAGGTGACTTTCAATGTTTTTACATTTCCATTGCTCGTTTACTTTCTCAAAAGTCAGAAAGTAGGTCTACGCTCTTAAGTCAAAGTGTTTCCAATGTTAAAGGGTTATCTAGTTTTTTGTATAATCTAGATTATTGTATATTTAGGGTATGCGCTATATCATCACCGTTCCCGCTTGCCTGAACGCTGCTGAGCATGCTTTGAAATGCATATCTCTCAATGGCATCAATGATAAAAACGAGAGGGTACGGAGTGCTGCTTTCGAGATGCTGAAGCTGCTCAAAGGGCATCGTTACATTCGGGTTAGTGAGCATGCAGATTCGAATTTCCTCAGATACGAGTCACAAATTGAAATTATCTAGTTTTTTGATGTTGTACCTATGGAAGAAGTACTGGCTCGCCTACAAGTTGAAACTTCGGAGAGTGTTCGACGTCAAATTGTTCCGCTCATTTTCAAGGTAATCATGAGAAATTAGTCAGAATTGTTGAACCTTTTTTCGTCTTATCTTGTAGATTTATTTTCAATACTTATCAAGTATGATTACAGTCATTCTTTCCTGATCCTAAACGCGTTGATCGGAACGAGAGAATGAAGCGTATAGCATTCCTCATCAAGCATGGTCGGATATGCGCATTGACTTTTCATCGACTGGTATTCCCTCTTGCGCTCGTTACAGTCAAAGAAGCAGGTTAATCTTTTTTGAGCTGACAACTATATGTCAGCATAGCAAACCAGTTGGAAAACCCATTAAAAACTATAATATTGAATTCCAGTGGAGCACATTCAGTTTATGACCATTGTCGTTTACCGCATCTTCACGAAGGGCACTACTGCTGATGCAACCCTAGATGGGTCAACTTCATTGCTACTAGACGACACCGTAGGCACACTTACTGGTCCAAGTCAGGAAATGACTATGCCTGGTTAGTTTCTCTATAGTACAAAGTTAAGCAAGGAGAACCTGGTCGCTGGGGTTTTAGATGTTAGAAAAACACATTACAGCGAAGAATAAATTTTTCTATTCAGATGAGAACAGTCCCAACTGGCAACGAAGCAAAGTGTTTCTGGAATGTGTTGTTGTAATGTGGATGAGCATGCATAAAGTAGGGGAAATGTGAAAGGTTTCATTTTCATATTTCAAAAAAAA